GGGTTCTGCAAAAAATCTTTCTAGCCCTGCTTTTCCTTCCCACTCTCTTTCAGAAGAAAATGCACACTGCTACTAAAGTGGTTGAAGCCATTTTTGAACAGATGGAAACTTGTGCCCTTGTTGGAGAAATACTCTGAGAAAATTCCCAGTGCCCTTCTCTCTTCTCTGCCACCCAAGTGGCGATGGTCAGGGCCATTCCTCTACTCCAGTGATGGCAAACCTGTGACACATATGTCAAAGATGACACACCATGACATTTTGGATGACACACTAGCATTCACCAACACCTGACAACTAGTCTCATGTGATTTTCAGAAGATACGTAAGAATGGGGTATGCTCTGACACAGCCTCAGGACCCTCCAAACATAGATTTGCTTTGCTCAAATTTCAGTTTTGTAATTATTTGATGTTTCCTTACATAAAACATAACACCACAAATGATTGTGCTGCATTTTTCAGATAAATAAATATGTAAATAATTGTTTCTCTTTTGTTAGCAGGGAAGTGACATGCCGGCAGAATCAAGTAAGGCATTTTCCAAAGTTCCAAACCCAAAAGATTTACCATTATTGCTCTATTCAGTCAGGACAAGCAATTTAAGAAGTTTCCAGAATTTTATTAAGAGTTGCAGAATCTTATCAGATAACAAGGACCATATTAAACTCACGCCCCTAGATAAAAGATCCCAAATACATATTCAGGGAAACTTACTCAGATAATTTCATGCAACGAATTTCAAATGATGCAGGTCATGTACAAAATTCTAAGCTAGTGGATAATCCACCCCAAATGTATCTTTGCACATGCATATCACAATTGTGGCATTGCCATAGCAACCTGCAGTACTATAGACTTATCCCATTAACTATAGAAGCTGTTTCATGGCTCAGCGTGCAGGTCCATTCCACCTGAACTTTTCTCTTGTGCTTATGTGAGCTTAGGGACCATTTGTTGGTCTATTCTGAGCTTTTTCAGCTATCTTTGCATCCTAATAATGATGTCTGTTTGGCTAAGGCTAAATTTCTTTATTTGCACTAAATTCCTTATGAATTCCCTCCATTCCTCTGGATTCATTCATCTCTTACAGTCCCAAACTGCAATCATCAACATAACTCCATCACTGGCCTCCTGACTAGTCCTGTTGTGAGCTACAATTCAGCAACATGTAGAGGATCCCAGATTCTTCATCCCTGGGCAAGAGAAACCAGAATCCATGTTTTGCTCTTCTTATGAGCATTAGTGGACAGTGGCTCAGGAGATCACTGATCTCTGGAATAATTTAGAGAAGAATGGTAAATCCAGAAATGAACAACAGCAGGAGTACGTCTCATGTATCTGGAGGGAAAAATACCTTATTGTTTGCCATATTGCTTTGTGATTCTGCAAAGTTCCTCTTAGATCAGGGATGTCAAGCCCACTTGCAGCACGGGCCATATGGTGACATATTGGGAATTTTTCGCCTTGGCGGTGCCGGGGTGGGTGTAGCCAGATGCATGGCCAGATGTGGCCTGTGGGCCGCAAGTTTGACATGCCTGACTTAGATGGTAAGTGTTTTGTTAAAAATGTAGGACCTTGGCAGCCATCTTTAAAATGTACCCACCATATGCTTTCAAAATTCCTAATGTATCCAGAGCCTAATCTACATGCCTTTTTCCTTCACATGTACAGTTCACCTGCTTCAGAGGTTTCCAGGGATGCCCTCCAGGAATGGGGACATAAGAGGGAAGAATCATTTGATCTGCCAGAGCTGGTAACCTAGTCTACTCTTTCTTTCTCTCACTAAACAACTTTGTGTGAAATCCTTGACTATTCAAAGACACAGTGAATGGCAGAGGACAATATCTATACTCCATCTAGTGATTTGGAATGTAAGAGGGATAAATGGTACAGTTTATGAATAAATAAATAAATAAATAAATAAATAAATGAATGAATGAATGAATGAATGAATGAATGAATGAATGAATGAATGAATGAAAAAGAAAACAAGTAAGGCTATGAACTTAGGAAAAACAGGAAGTGTAAGGACCTGCCTCAGCTAAACCTCCCAAGAAAGCAGAACTCTTGAAATATGCAGCATTTCAACAGGAACTTTTATTGGGGTTCCTGATTACAGAAAAGTAAGGCAGGTTCTGGGGGTTTCCTGCGCAAAACAATACATTCAAAGTAAGAATCCAAAACCCCACCCCAACTGTCCATTCGGTCAATTCAAATACAGCCAATCCAAAGGTGTAAAATTGTTGTAGGAACTAACCAATAAGGCGCCGCTTTCAAGGTTGTCAGGTCTCATCGCGCCATCTTCCCTCTGTCCAGAGATAAGGCAGATGGCCAGAGGCACATTCCTTTCTCACCCCAAGAAAGGGCAGGGACATTTCAAAGAGAAAGAACAAAGCAAAGCACAGCAAAGGAAATACACTACAGAAAGCCCATATGCCCCTCCCCCCCTAAATAGAATGGCAGAACCTGAAAAAGGGAAAAGGGGATTGAGGGGAAATGGATTTAAGGGTTCTGACAGGAAGGATATAATAGATACAAATGGAGGTGTTCTGATCTTGTGGTAAGGAATTAATAAATACATATGCATAGGAAGTAAAAGTATAGTGTTTTTTTTTATGAAAAGGCTAAAATATGTGTCAGAAACATAAATCTGTATCATCTACATTGTTCTACATATACAACTAGCAATTCATAAGCTGGTGAAAGTTGTATGTAACGTTACAGTGAATGGTAATAAATAGAGAATGCAGCTATGATGTCTTGGGAGAGAAATTGTTCCATGTTCTGAATGAATGAATGAATGTGTTCCATGGGGGAAATATTTTGATAAGTAACATTAATGGTGGATTGGGGTGAAGAATGATATGAGGGAATGCAAAAAGCTTGGCCGGGCCATTTGAGGACCATATTTGATGAGTATTTACTTATAAAAATCTTTGTTTGTTTCAAATAAGTCTATTCATAAGTGGATATGAATTAAAAAATTAAATTAAATTGAATAAAATTAAAAATGACGATGGCTTTGATTATGTAAAGATTGTGATAATTATTGAAGGGTACTGTAGTCAACACTCTACCCACTACGGAGATCCATTGCTCCAACCCCCCAAAGATATGGCCACCCAGACTCTTTTTTAAATGTCTTCAGCAGCACTACCTCCTAAGCCAGTCTGTTTCATGATTTTTCTTAGGATATTTTTCATGAGGTCCAACTGAAATCTATGTTTGTTCCTTGAGTATCTTCTAGAAACCTCTCAACAATTCTTCCCCAAGTACTACATGGTAGCCCTTCATATTTTTGGAAACAAGTATCTTCTCCTATCTACCCACTGTCTTCTCATCTCCATGACAACACACCCAGTCCCTCCAACTGTTTCACACATTGCTCACCTGAGACCAGATAAATCTCATCACCACCACCATCTCTATGTTATGTTGCCCAATATGGTTCTTAGCAGCCTTTCCAATAAATAACCTAGAGCTAGAGTTACAGGAGTAACACATAGAATAATGCCCTTGAGGTGTACAGTTGTATGCTACTGGTTTAAAATTGGGTGGAAATATAAAGGAAACTGAAACACATTGAACCCAATGAATAACCCAGGACTTCTGAGTGAAATACAGAATTCTGTTCCATGTTATTGCTGGTAGCTGAATCATCTGCCATTTCCTTATTTCCATACTAACTATTTTCTGCTTCATAAATTAATGTTAGGGAAAAACGACGTCATCCTGGGAAAGTTGGATCATGCTAGAAAAAGGCTTGTCCATGTCATGTTTCTTTCAAAAGCTTCTCATGGTTTTTTAAGTTCCCTGATAAATATTGTCTAGTTTGTTCTGTTGGTTTGTTGTTGCAATGGCCCCCAGTAAAAGACAAATGACTTTGTATGAATGTTGTAGTTGTAGCTGAATGCATATCTCAGAAATATTTTATATCATTTGAACTCCACACACTGAAAATGAGTCTTGTCAGAATTTCAGAAATGCTTTTTTTTTGGGTTAGGTATGAAAGTTACATAATAAGTATATCAGTTACATAATCTAAGAGAAGTCCAAGCCAATAACCTTGCTGAAAACTTTTATTATGATCCACACAAAACAGACTGTATTATCTACAGATCTGATATAACAGTTCCAACAAAATACCTCTTCCCAGTTTGCAAACACAGCTCAAGGCTGTTTTTTGTTATAAAAAACCTTACTGACATATAGAGAAAATGCCTTATATGCAGCAATCACATAATCAATGGTTTTATAATATTGTCACAATTACAATATATTAAAGAGACTTTGTAAATAAAAGGCTACATTTATATTTACATAACACATAAAATTGATACATAAAACAAATCAGGAACAATATTCTGTATTACATTTGCAGTAGGAAATGAACAATATGCTTAAAATTTTGTCTTGCACAATAAAGTTCTAACATAACAAAATTGCTAACATTTCTGTCACTTAAGTTTTATTTATTTAATCATCATAAAAGTTTCTCATTATCTAGCTGCATACAACTGCATAGGCTGAAAAGGTTTTCTTTGCAGTTAAAATTAGCCCCTGTTCCTGTGAAAAATGCAACAAGTGCAGTCAATTACAGCAGAAGGACAATTCAACCATGATTTCATCAGAAATGCTGTATATTTTGTCCTCTACCATCAGTTTGGAAATTGTATAGATTCTTTTACATTTCTATTATATATCACACAGAGACTCATAAACTTTAGATAAGTAACTATAAATTAACTGTAAATTAATCAAAACCATAAATAAAACAACTGTACAATATTTAAGTAGTCCAGCAACTTAACTCTAGCCTCAAAATGGAGTCTTAACACTCAAAGCTACGACTGAAAGCAAGGACAAGATAAACAGCATTCTATAAGATTTCAGAGTAATTCAGCTATCCAAACATTGCAGACCATGTTAATAACCAGTCAAATGTCTCATTTTTACTATTATTTTTTCTTATTCTTTCTTTAAAAATACAAATAACAAATACAAAAGTATTAAATACTATCAAAAAACAGTATAAATATGATGAAATTTTAAATACAATCATACATAAAAATACGTTTAAAATGAAAATAAATTAAGGAAAGTTGCAATGGGCTGGAAAGCAAGGTACAGCTTTGCAGTCTTGCTAGAAACCAGAAATACTATTGGAAGAAGAGGGGAAAAACAGCCACCAAAACCAATCTTAAGCCTCAAACAAATTTGAAAACGGTGTTTTTTTGAGAAACATTGCTATGAGGCCATTTAGGTCACTTTGTGTTGGTTTGCCCCTTGCTACTAAGAAGATATAACTGTAGCCATTGTGATCTAACTGCAGAAAAAGTTTTTAAATGATTTATGGCTTAACGTAATAGTCAATCCAGACTGCTGCCCAAGTAATTCCTCTGTAACTCAGATTTACTTTTAAAAATAAATCCCCCTGAACAAACAATATTTTCAAAGTATTTTGAACCCACAAGCAATCCTTAATAGAAGAGTGGAATTACTCATAATGCATGAAACACTTTTGAGCTTCACAAGAAAGATAAGCCTGACTCAAAATGTCAAGCACCATACCCAACACTCAATAAGAAGTTGCCTTCATTCTGTGAGAACAAGTTTGAGAGACAGGAGGAAGAGCTGCAACCTAGACAATATTCTGATCAATAAAATCTGAGTCCAAAACAGGAATGTAATTAGGGTAAGCACCTCAGAATTGACTCTCCTTAGTTTTCTGGAATGTAAGAGTAGGAGAGGAAGAGGCACATTCAGACTTCCAAGATTCTGTTACTGTAATCTTATAATAAAAGTCACATTAGAATTCAGGATTTTGGCTTCTGGGTTTGAAGGGCCAATGTAGCTCAACTGAGTTATTCTCTTTTAGTATTTCATGAATACAGTGTCATCGTCATCCACTGAAAAACAATATGGAGAAATGAACTGAATCATTTATTTAATATTCACCAGCAATATTTTATCTCAACATTGTTAATGGTCCCAATGAGAGAATAAATTTTGGATTGTTCTTTGTCCTAATTCAAGGCTAAAGAACCTCATTCTGTCAACAACGTGAGGAAGCTATTCCTAACAATTCCGCAACTATCAATACAGTTGCCTAAAGGAAAGAGTGCATGTACAATATCTGTATCTGTATATATGTGTATGCAAGCATGATTATATGGACCAAGCTCTGTAAGTGCTCTCAGATGAAGTGGCATTATAACTCAGAACCTGAAGCTCCTTTGGCAGAATTCTTGATCCAGCTGCAGTACAGTTGCTTCAAACAGCAGTTCTGAGATAATATTTCCCCCACCCATTGTTTATTGGAATAGCACAAGAGGAACTTACATTGGGTACATGGAATAGAAGGTGCTGAAATGAGCCATTACATTCTTTAAAGAACCTTCTTTATCCTTGAGAACCATAGGCTACATATATCTTGGATTTCCCCCCCCCATAAAGATCATAGAAATCTCATCCTTACCTCAGACTCTAGAAGGTAGATACCTTTGCCATCTTTGGTCATATTATAAAAGGCTTCTGTAAAAGAAAGGAAATAAGGAGAAATTATGAGATATTCAGAGAGAAAAAGGCAAGACTGGTTATCTCCTATCTTTGCATCTCAAAAAACAGATCAGCTGTAGCAATGAAGAGTCCTTGAGGAAAATGCCCTCTCCTTTCCCAGTGTGAGCAATTGACAAAAGTCACATCAACTTTTTAAATGCCTCACAATATTCTCTACTCCACAACATCACAAATATGTCAACAAACTAAATGATGCTAAGATTCAACTATTTCTAGAGTTTTGTACTAGTCCATTTCATTACAAGTTCACACATTTTAAAAACTGACTTGTAGGACTTTAACGGCAAAAACCAGAACCTTCCATTGTTCCTGGAAGCCTATTGTTAAACAATGCAACAAAAGTATGACCCAACTAAATGTAGGGTCTGTTGCATTTCCAAATTACCAATTAATTTTATAAGAACCATTTGTAAAGCAAAGATGATCTAAATGTGAGGTGATGAAAGCATGAGTCCCAGTGGGAAGAGTTGCTCCTTCAGAAAACATTTGCTTTTGAGCATCTTTTCATCCACCTCTCTCCATCCCCACATCCTTAATAGGAAATCTGAACCAATTTATATCCTTTAATTCAGGGATCTTCAAGCTTGGCCCTTTTATGACTTGTGAAATTCAACTCCCAGAATCCCTCAGCCAGTGTGCCTGGCTGAGGAATTCTGGGAGTTGAAGTCCACAAGTCATAAAAGGGCCAAGTTTGAAGATCCCTGCTTTAATTCCTGGAGGAAAACCTTTATTTTTCCCTTGGTTGAAGTACAGCAGGTAGCACATAGAAGAAGCCTCAGAGGTACAGTAGCACCAAGCCTTAAAACCTGGCAGAGAAGGGTACTTCTTTTTTCCATCATGTATCATGGGTTGTTGTGACATGAGATAGAAGGCCATATAAATTGTGTAAATAAAACAAGCTATCTCTTTTCTGAGATATTGTCTCCCAATTCATTTGCTTTTCTATCACAATGGAATGCAGTTATTTCAGTTGTTTTGCTTGTAGCTATTTGGTTATTTGCTTGTATTATTTACAATCAGTTTTAATACCTTTTAATACCTTTTAAACTTCTTCCATCTAATGAATTTTTCTTCTGCTTCATTGTAAGCTGCCTGATTATGGTTGCCCCCCAAAAGGTTTTTGAGTTTTTTTTTAAAACAACAACAACAACAAAAATGGGGTATAGAATTTTGAAAAAAAACCTGTCAATTCCTTGCCTTCTAATGATATCTGCAAATCTTAAAAAAAAAAAACCTTGCATCTTTCTTGCAGTGATCTAAAATGAGCTCATTGAAACATTCATTTGTATTCTGCAAAGGGCCATCTGTGAAATAATTTCCCCTGGAGTCCTATGTAAGAAATTTAGTGAAAAGTCTACTTACCCATCATAAGTTCCACACGTAGCATGAAACAGGCAAAGTTCTCAAATGTGATTTTTAGATCAGGATTTCCATACCGGACTGTCAGCAGTTTACAAAGTCGATCGCTGAGTGAGATTCCTTTGGAAACATAAGAATGCCCACAAAGATGCTTAGATCACTATCAATCATATTTATTTATTTATTTATTTTAAACAGGTCCTATTTAAGAAAGTAGAATTTAGTTTGGCACAGATCTTTATAGATTTATGCATTCAGGTACCTTTTTTAAATTCAATAGTTTCTCCTATGGGGATTGGTTTGTTGGAGATGTATATTTTATCATGCCATGAGAGATTAATAACTAACAGCAAATCGTATAATAGATTTAAGTATTGAGCAGGGATTTGAACCCAGTGCCTCTGGTCAAATTCAATGCTTAATCCATTACACTTCACTGGATCTAATTATAATGGATTATAATGGTTAACATATATAAGACAAGGCAAAGTTGAACTGTGTTATATGCAGGACATTTTACAAATGTGTCATTTATTTGCAAACATTTTGTAGCATTTCTCTCCTTTTTTTCTTTTTTTCTCACATCTCGCAAATAATGTCTCTCTGTAAAAGAGAACTATATGACTGTGCCCATCATATTCCAAACTCCAGTGGTTTCAACTTATGCTGCCGCGGCAATAGCCAAAATCCAAAGCTGCATGGCTGGTATCTGGTGGGTGAATATTTTCCATATCAAGACAGTGGTGACTTCCCTCCAGATGAAAATGTAGGTAGTTGCTGGAGCAAAGAGGCAGGTAGTGAGCAGGTAACTCACACTGAGTGGAGTAAAGGCTTTCTCCAACATGGTATTTTCCAAATGTGTTTGTTTATTACTTTCTGTTTGTATTCATTGAATATATTTCCATGCCGCCACAAACAAAAAGTCTCTCAGCAGTTTACACACACAAAGAAATTCCAGGATATCCACGTACAAAGATAAAAACACTATAAAAACCCTACAGAGCCCAACTTCGCAGCCAGCCTTGCTTGAAAAAACTAGAGAGCACTGATCTGAGGAAGACTATTTTGGTGCAGTCTGTGGCTAAACTGATTATCTATTCCAGTTCAGGCAAGCTGAGAAGTATTGATGTGTTTGTGAATTGCACTGATTTTAATCAGAGGGCTTTTAGTACAGCCATAGTTCTCAGACTATAGAAAGCTGGAACTGAAACTTTCCTGCTACATCACATTGGCCTTATCATCTCTGGCAACAGCAATTAGAATGATGAATCACAACTCCATAATATGGAAATAATCTTTAACCTCCTTTAATATCACACAGAACTATGTATCTCATCAATTATGAAATTATAGTCATCATTTCTTCTGCCATTTATGAAACTATGAAAACACAGAGTTGATAGTCCCAAAAATGTAAACATCTTTTACAGGAGAAATATTGGGATCTGCTGTCCATTAATAATGAGTTGTTTAATTTAATCAGTCAAAGTGCATTAATTTGATATGTCATATCTGGTATTTTAATTACATTATGTTTTCATTTATGATTGGTTCATTACTGCCATATGTGAATGCAAGTGAAATGTAATGAACTTTAATTTTATTTTGGTTTGTACATAATCTTAACTGTAACACTTCCATACTTTATATTTGTTAATGTCAAACTAAATAAAGATAATTGAGCTAAAATTTCAGATTCATTAAATACTGAACTAATCTCATTTAACAGTATTCCATATTGTTACCTTAAAATCATTTACCTTGCAACTATTTTAATCAAATGCATTTTAAAAACATTTTACAAGGTAAAATTAATTTTTGGTTCATTTCAGTACAACAATAAAAGTCAGAAGGATAATTCAGCTCTATATAATAGAGATTAATGAAGTTTTTAAATGGCTATTATCTATTCTGTGAAGACATTACTACCAGTTGATCTGGTTTTATGGTAAAATGCAGATATGTGACCAGGCAAGAATGACTTTGTTTCATGTATTTTATGTTCTTCATGTAAAAACTAAATAGGAGGGTTTCATTTTGATATTACTATGATCTGAGTACTCCTTGGAAACAATGCTCTGACTAAGGTTGGTCTTTCCTTCAAAGTGAGGGCTTGGAATATCCACAGTATTCCAGCCCAGATACTAAAAGAGAATTCTGGATATGTGTTGCACTTGTCCAAAAACAGATGAAGTTGATTGATTTCAGTCAGAGATACTGAGACAGTCAAGGTTAGAATCTTGAGACTCCATTGCAGCTGCCACGGCCGCTGGAAGGCAAGCTCCGTCTTCTGCATTCGGTTTCGCTCTGCTGGGGGACCCTTGAAAGGGTCAAGAGTCGCCCTGTATGGGCAACAAGCAAGGAGGAGACCCCCCACTTGATCGCAGGAGGGTGGTAGCCCTTCTGCTCGATCCGGGGCAGTCCTCCAAACCGGCGGACGAAAGACCGGCCATAGAAATATGGCTCGTCACTAGGCTGCAGACAGCCGAAGTCAAACTTACCACCAGGCACTTCTAAAGCAGCGCGGATGAGACTGGGTGAGATCTGAACCTCTCTTCAATCCTAAGTATTTTCTCTTTCTGTAAAAGCTGCCCAAAGCATCTTCCCCCCTGTGAGAGGGAAGGGAATTTCTATCCCACCCTCTAAGAATAGCGGTGACTGGCTATCCAGGGGAGTTAAAACACTGAAAGAATAACCTTAATCTAACTGGATTTATATGCTTCTAAAATTTGGGAACGAAAAGATTTCTTATCTTTACAGAAGACTTTGATTTTTATTTACAAAAAAGAAATAAAATTGGAAAAAGGATTATAAAAATTTTGGACTTAAAAAACCTTAAATGGCATTGGTGACATCTTGTGGCCAAGTTTGATATTACAACTTGTTATAGTCTAAAGGAGACTTGGCTTGAAGCCCAGACTATAGATAAGACTTTTCAACCTTGACAAATACCAGCTGTGAAAAGCTCAGCTGTGTCCTATACCCAATTATAACATTATTTTCATTCTCTAAAGCCCTCAACTTAACACACCATCAAGAGAATATGGATGAAGACCAGGCCACAATTAAAGAATCAACTATGCAGAAGATAACAGAAGAAGTGGAAAAATTAAATACTATGATAGAAGATTCAACTGACCAACAAATACAGTCAATGGAAAATCCAGAAAAGGGACTGACAACACTGAAAATGGAAATGACTTTCTATATAAATCAGAAGAAATTTGAGGAGCAAGAAGAAGAACAGACTGAAAGGAAGACAAACATATTTATTATTTATTTATTTTATTTATTTTATTAAACTTATATGCCGCCCTTCTCCCAACAGGACTCAGGGCGGCTTACAGCATATTAAAACGATACAAACACTATCCCCAATAAAAACCAATTAAAAACAAATATTTACCGCTGTGTTACCCTTAAAATTCTAATTAAAATTGTCCCTATTTAAAATTCTCCCTAGGCCAGACCCGCTTGCTGAAA